CGGCCGTGCGGCCCCGCGCGGGGTCCCGCTTCCCAGCTGCCGGGGCCGGCGGGCTGCTGGCTGGGGTTTGCGGGGAAAGCACTGCAGTGTTGTGCAGAGACACCAGAGGGGACCCGTGGCTTGGGTTTCCCGGGGCGGACGGCTTATTCGGTATATGTGTGGACCATGCAGTGCATCACAGCTGAGGGGTGCTCCCCCCTGTTGCTCGGGGGTCTTGCAAGGACTCGGACCGGTGTCCAGACCACCAGCGTGCACTAGGCTGGTTGCGTTCACGTTTCGGTGTTTTTTGCATGCGCTGCTGCTTGGGTGACTTGGCGATAGCTTGCAGCACATACAAGTGGCTCTCAGAGCCAATAGACCCAGGTGCGTGCTCGTGTGCCGGCCGAGAGGTGAGCCATTCCTTTAACACGCTGTGTGATACGCACCAGTGCCGTGGGCTGGGTGCCCACCAGGCATGGGAGCAGCTCTCCCTGCCTGGCCCGGGCCGGCTCTGTGGGCAGGGAGGCTCCGTCCCCGGCAGCATCTCCGGGGAGGCAAGCATTGGCGTGCAGGGCAGGCCCAGTGGAGGCACCTCCAGCGCACTGGCCCATGGATTTCATGGCTCATGGCCACGGCCCATGGGTTCTCGGGCTCAGCTCCCACCCCGAGCCCGTCCAACAGCCAACCTGGTAGCCGAGCGCTCCCGAGCCCGCCACCCCTGCTGTCTGCTGAGGAGGGAAGGGTAACTTATTTTGCTTTGCCGTTGGTCAGCTCCCTGGCTCTGGTGGAGGAGCTGGATGTCCAGCCTCGGGCAGGGTGGGAGGACTTCTCACAGTCTGGAAATCTCTGCCCTTCACCTTCACTGCTTTTCTTTTCTTGCAAAGGTGAAAGCCACAGACGCGGATGAAGGCGTTAACGGGAGAGTGTGGTACAGGATTGTCAAGGGTAAGTCCAAGTGCCACTTAGTGCATGGGTGGGTTGGCGCCAGGCTCCGGCCAGCCGCACGTGCAGCCCCGTTGCGCTCTCCATCCTTCTGCACTTGGCAGCCCACAGAAACATTTCCCCCACTCGTCAGCATTAGGGTTAATTCCCAGGGGATGATTTGTCATGGATGGACACCACCCCAGATGCCGTAGCTCCTGGCTTGACCGGAGCCAAACCATGCTGAGCTGAGCGTGATGTAGCTGCAAGTGATGGGGTTGATTGCGTTTTGCTCAATAATCTGCCTCCAAGAAAGCTCTGGGGAAGGCTCGCCGGAGCCAAACCATGCTGAGCTGAGCGTGATGTAGCTGCAAGTGATGGGGTTGATTGCGTTTTGCTCAATAATCTGCCTCCAAGAAAGCTCTGGGGAAGGCTCGGCGTGTCGCCAGGACCGATGCAGCGGCGGTGGGCAGCCTCCATCTCACTTTCCTCCCCGCCAGGAAACGAGCACAACAACTTCCGCATCAGGCCACCCTCCATCTCACTTTCCTCCCCGCCAGGAAACGAGCACAACAACTTCCGCATCAATCCCAGCACCGGGCTGGTGATGCGAGGTGTGCGGCACCTGGACCGGGAGCAAAACTCCTCTCACGTTCTGGAGGTGGAGGCCTACAACACGGAGCAGGGACCCATGAGGAGCTCTGTCCGGGTAAGGACCTTGTGGCCGCCGAGGGGTGGGCAGCAGGGCTGGGCGGCGGTGGAGTTGGTCCAAAATGTTGAGGATGCTTCATGAGAGGGCAGTCATTGCCAGCCCTTGCAGGCAGGCAGGAAGTTTGAGGGCTCTGGCATGGAAATGCTGACGGAAAGTCTCCGGAGGCTGCCCGTGGGTGGAGAAGAGTTTGTTGGGAGGTTTTTTATTGGGGTTTTTTTTTTTCTTTTTTCCTGTGACATTTCGGTGTGATGAGGTTACTAAGTGGTGCGGCAGTCGCTGTTGGAGGGAGTCCTACTCGCCCCCTGAGATGTGGCTCGGCTGCCGGGTGGAAGAGCTGAGCCTCAGCCTGTTGGAAACTGTGTCTCCTGGCCAAGCATCTATTTAAATAAGCCAGGACCCAGTGGCAATAATCTTTAGCAGTGACACACCAGCTTCCCATGGTTCCCATGAACCCAGCCCTCCGGTTACATCTATTTTTAGACCCACTGGTGGGGTGGGCTCCAGCCGAGCATGTCGTGCCCGTAGCACCAGCAGAAACCCAGGAGGAGAAAGGATGTTCCCTGGGGAAACAGCAGCTCGACCCGCTGAACTTCGAGCAAAATTTCCCACCGAGCTGCCAGCATTTCTACATTGCAGGATCTCAAACTGCAAGGCTTTGAGCAGGGGATCCCAAACCACGGAGGAATTAATACACAGAGCATACCTCACTGCGGCCAGGGGAGGACTGCGTCACTTCTACCGCCGGGCTTGTTTAAATCGGTGATGTTAAACCGCCTGTGCTCACTCTCCATCGCCTGGTGTTGGTAGTAGAGATAACGTTCCTCCTGTGCAGCAGATGAGTGCCGTGAAGGATATATTTCCCCTCACAAGTGTAAGCAGATGGCGAGGGTTCACTAGCTTGCCCGGCTCACCCGTGGTTTCTCCGGGGGGGGTTCACAGGTGATCATCTACGTGGAAGACGTCAACGACGAGGTGCCAGTGTTCACCCAGCGGCAGTACAACCGTCTGGGGCTGCGGGAGACGGCGGGGATAGGGACTTCGGTGGCGGTGGTCCGGGCCACCGACAGAGACACAGGTATGAACCCGGGGGTGAGCTTGCAGTAACACTCAACTTGGGGTGGAAAGCGGTGAAATCAGCCATTGCACGGATCCTGGCTTGGCTGGGCTGAAATCTCCATGTGGGATGGGTTCTGCTCCAGGGTTGGGGTCAGCATCAGTGGTGCCTGCCTCTTTGGGATACTTGGTCCAACCGGCATCGTGGTTCCCGCTCCTGCTCCAGGCAACGGCGGTCTGGTGAACTACAAAATCCTGTCGGGCGCAGAAGGGAAGTTTGAGATCGATGAGAGCACGGGCCTCATCACGACGATCGAGTACCTGGACTACGAGACCAAAACCAGCTACCTGATGAATGTCTCTGCCACGGACCAAGCACCCCCCAACAACCAGGGCTTCTGCAGCGTGTATGTCAGCCTGCTGCACGAGCTGGACGAGGCCGTGCAGTTCTCCAACAGCAGCTACGAGGCTGTGATCGTGGAGAACATCCCACTGGGCTCCGAGGTGCTCCGGGTCCAGGCCCGCTCCATCGACAACCTCAACCAGATCACCTACAAGTTTGACCCCAACACCAACGCCCAGGCACTCTCCCTCTTCAAAATCAACAGGATTACCGTAAGTAGCCACAGCGTGGTCCTTCCTGGCTTGCTTGTCCACTGTGGGCTTTGGCGTTGGTGGCCGACACAACTGTTGTTCACCCTTGGCAGGGTGTGATCACGGTCAAAGGCCAGGTGGATCGAGAGAAGGGGGATTTCTACACCTTAACGGTGGTGGCCGATGATGGAGGACCAAAGATTGATTCTACAGTGGTGAGTAGCTCCTATCTGCTTCCCCACCATCCTCTGTGCAGGCAGAGCTGACCGCAGGTCACCTTCCTCTTCCTCTGGCATGGGACAGCATGTCCTAGCTGGCCTCTCTGCTCCAGCTGCCAGGGGCTGGAAACCCTGATTTGGGGGAAACCCTGCATTTGCATAAGCACAGACTGCAGCTCATCGGGTGGGATTTCTCAGAACAACAAAAAAAACCCACCCCAAACTGCAGGGTTTGCAGGTCGCTTGCCAGGCTAGAACAGTTTTGAGGTAGGTAAATGTGGGGGCCTTGAAATACTTCACGGTGGTTGATGTTTATAAGGGGATTATATTTGGCAGTTTCAAAGGCAGCCGAGCAGGGGGGTGATTTGCATTTCTCTGCCGGGGCAGGAGGCACGCTGGGTGCAGGGTGAGCCTGCTCCCTGTGCCGCGGGCAGGGGCAGCTCGGCTGGCACTACCCAAATTCTGCTGGTTTGGGCCAGCTGGTGGAGCGGAGCCCCAGGGAGGGTTTGAAACAGGAGGCTGGCCCGCAGCGATGGGCAGCGCTCTGTGTTTCGAGTGCTGCCTGTCCCCACCCATGGGTGCTGGCAGCTGTGCTCTTGTCCCAGGGTGAGGAGCAAATGCACCAAGCTCATTTAGAAAAAACAAGGTAATGCTCCAACAGAGGAGCCTCTGAATCACCACAGAGCGGTACCCGTGGCCCCTGGTGCTGCCACGGTGGGGTGCAGGGCTAGCCCTCTGCCCCTCGCGTGTGCCGGCACCTCCTCATCCCCCACTAACTCTTGGTTTTCTGTTTTCTCTCTTTCTCTCTCCGCTCTCCTCCAACAGAAAGTAAGCGTGTCCGTCATGCTGGCATCACCTTGTGGGCCAGGATTCATCCTGAACTCTGCGTCGAGCTGCAGGGAGGGATTGGGGTGGAGGTCTCCAGCCCCATCCCACCAGCACCAGCCTCTGTGACACTCCTGGGGACATAGTGCAGTGCCTGCGAGCCACCCTGCTGCTGGCCAGCAGAAACCCCAACGCCCTGATCTGGCACTTGGGGACAGCAGCTGCCGGATCCGTCGCAGCAGCTGAATGGGCTCTCCCCACTCCGGGCTCTCTGTTTTGAATTCAACAGCAACAATAAGCCGATCGCCCCAAGGCGCACAACACGCTCCCCGGCTTCCTCCGGGATGTTGTTGCATTCAGCCTGGCCACACCTGGGGGCTGAGGGCACCCAGAAATAGAGCCCCGGGAACAGAAAGGCCCTTCCTCTCTCATTTCTGTGTTGCGTTGCAGCTCTTTGATTACAAACGCGATGAGAGCATTTCCTCTGGCTAATTGTGGCCAAGGTAGCCCGGTCCCCGGTCGCCTCCGCACTGTGGCGGGGTGCCCCTCCGAGCACCTCCTGCTCAGTCTCTTGCCTGTCCATGTGCCTTTTCCCAGGAGGGAGCTCAGGTCTTCTATATGCCCAGTTTGCCCTGGTTTAGTTAAATATAGGCAGCTCTGACTTCCTTGTGTCCGTTTAGCTTTAAAGCAAACCCTGTCCAGCCTCTGGTTCTGTGAGCAGGATGAAATCGCTGCTTGTGAAAAGCTTAGCAGGAAAGGGTCACCCTGCAGCAGCGTGAGTTGCTCCGTGCCCAGCTCTTGGGAGGATAGAAAACAGGCGGATGCTCCATGGAAAAATCCACCATTTGAGAGCTGCAGCACCCTTGCGCTCTTTCTCCAGCCTCTAAAGCATGCCTCCTCCTCCTCCTCCTCTTCCTCCTCCTCCTCTACAGATAGGGATGAAGCTTCAGCTCCTGGGCTCAAATACCTGCAGCCAGGTGGGACAGACAACACCCACGCTGTCGGCACCTGGGGGGAGTTCAGTGGGTCAAGAGTTTGCGGGGGGTGTTGGCATGGCTATTGATGCCAGGTGGGCAGGGGGGGCCAGCTCCTGCCTGCACCCTGCCTGAGCCCCATGCCATTCCCGCAGGTGACCATCACGGTCCTGGATGAGAACGACAACAGCCCCCAGTTCGACATCACCTCCGACTCCTCCGTGAGCGTGGCGGAGGACAGCGCAGTCGGCAAGCGGGTGGCCGTGGTCCTGGCCCGTGACCCAGACGCAGGCAGCAATGGGCAGGTAGGGAGGCCGGCGAGGCAGGTTTGGGGCTGCCCGTAAGGCTGGGGTAGTGTTTCACCGCGGCAGAATCGCCTCGGTCGGTGTCTTCCCAACCCCTTCCTCTCATCTGCATCCCTGCGAGAGCAAACTCTGGTCATTGATGCCGGCAATTTTGGGGGTGTTTGTGCAGCGGGTACCAGTGCTTTCCGGTCAAGGCATGCCCACCAGAGAGGAAAAGCATCATCCCTGGGCTGTCTGGGGCAAAGAGCTCTGTGGGACACGTGTCAAAAGGAGCTCGGGAATCTGAAAACCAGCTGTGGCCTCTCCCGCCGCGGGGAACGGCAGCAAAGCCTTTGGCAGGCTGAGCAGGAAGCCCTCTGACATTTGTTATTTTCTTCAGCACACAGACAGGCATTAATGAGGTCCCGTCACCCTTAATGCCAAAAATCGCGAGTGTCGTAGGAGGGCTGTGGCTGAGACCGGGGTTGGCCCATGGGTGTTTGCTTTGGGGTGGCTGCAATAAGCCAGCACACCCGTGGACCCCAACACATTGAACTTTTTAAAATGCTTAAAGAGGTGATGCTGGGTTTATTATTGTAGGGTCTCCTTCTCTCCTTCCTCCTCACAGCATCCCATTGCCTGCCCTGTTTTTCTTTCCCTGTGATGTTTCCAGGTGACTTTCTCGCTGACGTCGGGGAACATCGGCCGGGCTTTCGAGATCCGTACCACCAACAACACCTATGGTGAGGTGTTTGTGGCACGGCCACTGGACCGGGAGCTGCTGGATCACTACACCTTACGGGTAAGCACCAAACCACCCCTCTTACCTCCTTGGGCTTCTTCGGGTTTGAGCATCGAGGTTGTTTTCTTGGGGCTGTGAGCTTAAAAATAACTTTTTTTTTTTTAAATTCACCTCCCAACCACAGATCCAAGCTTCAGATGGCGGTGTGCCTCCCCGCAGGAAGGAGCACACTCTGCGAGTGAACATCCTCGACGTCAATGACAACCCCCCCATCATCGACAGCCCCTTCGGCTACAACGTGAGCGTGAGCGAGGTGAGCACCCAGCCCTGCTCCTCCCCGTCCATCCTCCCCAGGTGAGGTCAGACCTCACCTTCGGTCATTTAAGAGTTGCTGGCCCCTTACAGACCTCACGTTGGGTCATATAAGGGTTGCTGACCCCTTGCAGACCTCACGTTGGGTCATTTAAGAGCTGCTGACCCCTTGCAGACCTCACGTTGAGTCATTAAAGGGTTGCTGACCCCTTGCAGACCTCATGTTGGGTCAATTAAGGGTTGCTGACCCCTTGCAAGCCTCACCTTGGGTCATTTAAGGGTTGGTGGCACCTTGCAAGCCCTCACCTGTAATGGCCTCTTAGTTTTGGGCTAGGAGAGAGGTCTGCAGGCAACTTAAGCCATGAGGCTGCAGGGACCAGCAGGAAGAAGAAGTGGCTACACACCCATGGAAATGCCACCGAAGTGACACAAGAGGCGGTGCGGTGCAGAATAGGAATTGCTTTCAGGAAGCAGCTCGGCAAGAGCTAGATAATTAAGCAATAAAACACAATCAGGCGTGAGAAAAGACAACTTATTTCCTGACAGTTTAATTCCTGGACCGGGGGGTTCTCAATTTGATGATGAAAAATGAAATACGAGTAATAGCCAGTGACACTTAGCTGTGAGGAAGTGCTGCTCATGATTAATAGCTTTGCATTAAAGTTATTGCCCTGCTAGGATTCTCTTATCTATTTAATACGTGTTCAGAGCTGGTTGAAGAACAGAATTTCTGTTTTGATTTCTCCCGTAATGGGACTATCCAAAAATAATTAGCCGAGCTCCGAGTCCATTACACAGCCTTCACCTTTGCACACAC